TTCTAAACACTTCAATTACTATCATTATGAGGATTTTCAGAGACTGAGTTATATTCGAGGTTGAAATCACGAATTGATATAAGCTAGATCACCTCCGAAAACCTGAAAGCACTGGACTGAATTCCCTATATGGTATGGGGCTCCTCAGCAGCGCGCACGCACAATCCTGCACGTGGGACATGGACACGGGACCTTAACTTCTAGACCACTGAGCTAGCATCATGAGCTCACTATTGACTAGCTTCAAGATGTAAATCCCGGAGTTCTGGTGAGGACTCGTGGCCAAAGCAGTCCAATCCATGCAGAGTGTGTGGGGGTTATGTAACTTAGGTAATGAATGAAATGATAAGCAAAATCATGGATCGATTGGACTCGTGGATGAACACTGTTGAATGCTCTTTCAGTAGTTTAGATGCTGTGCGGTCGTACATGAGATCAAAGATCCTATGTTCGAGTCTACATGTGGGATCGTTGATATGCACTGCTGAAAAATCCTAAACCAGGACGAAAGAGTGGCCTAGTGCATTTTAGTTTACAAAAGTGGTTTGAATTAGATTGGTTCGTCATTTAAACTGTGTAAATATTCAAATTATTGTTTGTTGCTTTGCATTCTGCAGCCCAAAAATGCCTCATTATTTTGATGTTTCTTCAGCTGGGCACAATTCACAAGTGGCTTTAATGATCTAGAACAAGTAATCACTTCACCCGATGCAAGAATATCACAAACGCGGATGACATGCACTCAGTAAAGTAAAGGAAGTCGTAAAAATTATTGGAAATCATTATAATCCGTTTTTAAATGCACGTTAGTTGTTTTTACAGGTGGCACTGTAGTTATTTAGAACTTTCAAATAACTAGTTAGTTACTTATTAAGGCATTTTGGAAGTTAGCAGTTAGAATCACATGTGTCTACCGGAAGAGCTGTTGTTTTTCCTAGACGACAGAAGCGGTTTCTGTTCTACATGCAACGTACTCGTTTGAACAGCAACAGAATGCTTTGTACACTTGGAGATGATTATACCGCCAAAGTTCACAAGATAATTATTTGCTATGTGACAAAGTTCCTCAGCAAGTAAATATACTACAGTCAGTCAGTCGTAATCATTATGTTTGAGGTTAAAGTTGCCATCTCTTAATGAGGTAATTTGGTGAGTCGTCCAACATCAGGTACGCATTCAATACATGGAGTATACCTGCACTATTTATTTCCCATATTTCATTAGTGCTAACATGTGGTGAATTAACATTAAATTGGCTACACATGGAAATATATTCTGTTGTGTTTAAACCCATCATAATAATACAACACAATTCCTTAATGTGCGCTTAGAAATTCATTTCTCGCCTGTGACTTGTCAAAGTTCTAGGCTACATTGGAGGTCAAGTTTATGAGACTTTTGGAAGAAAACAAGCCATCTTTTGAATAATATTGCATTTCAATTGATTTCCATATCAGTTAAGAGTTTAGTATTTAATGTAACCTGTAACTAACCGGATTACTAAGTTCAGCACTACTTACCGCTATTTGACTAACTTCTGAGACAGCAGATGAAGTTTCCTAAACATATTAGGTTTTTCATCTAAAAAATATTTGATTCGGCGTATGATTTCATGGTATTTCGTGGTACCAATCACACAAACAACTTTGCATTACAGCTGGATGGATCAAACGATTTAACGTCGAAGTTATGAACCTAACATTGGTTGAACTTCTCTCGCAAAATGCTTTTTCCGCATTGTAAATGATTATTAACATTACGATAAGTTCATGCCGCACACAAACAATTCACAACTTTAGTATCGTGAATCATACGCTTCATTCTGTCACATATATTGAAGTAGGAAGACTACTTTGGTAGTTGAGACGTTATCAATGTAAAATAAGGTTTTCATAAGTTATTTATCGGTCTAAAGTGAGTAGAATTCACGGAGTCACTTATCTATCTGTCACAATTCCTTAGACAGTTCACACTGCATAATTATGTGCATGAATACCGAATTTCGTTAACGATTTTGTTCATATGTTGATAGTATACCCACCATTATTTTAAATTCGAATAACAAAAACGTACATTCTGGAAAAATCAAGCATTTCGACCTTCATTAAATCCGAAATTCCTTAACATAAACGCTCTGCACCTGAATGAAGGCGAAACTCACTCATGCGACTCCGAGTGAATTAGCATGATGTTGCTTTACAACATAAAACCTCTTGGTAGCAAAATAGGTATACTGTGGTTACAGACAATAGAAAAACGCTCAGATACGTTTTTCACTCAAAACCATCCTCCAGTGTCATCATTTCTTTGAGTATTAGTTTGGCGGTCAAACCGAATTACATATCACGAATCAAGGATAAATTGATTACTAGAAGTAATGCAGTTTAACCTTGACCAGTTAAAAGACTTCCAAAATAATAAATTTTCACACAAAAACCAGATTCCATATGTTAATCATAAAGAACTCATATCTCTGATAATACTGTCATTCCATCAATTAGTCCTGCAATTTGCCATAGAACAGATCTCAACAGCGTTTGGACTGTTAAAAATAAAGTTCCGGTGAATAGTTGGACACAACTACTTATTTACAACGATTTTAACAAATGCGATAAGAATAGCTAAAATACACATAAACAACATGGTGTGACTTGTAACTCCTGCCCTAATGAAGCAGTTGGCCCAGCCATCAGGATAGGGTAAGTCTTTCTTGGACAATGATCTGTTTGAATAAGATATAAAACTATGAGGGTGGAGCACTCAATATCTTAGCTGACTAGATAACAAAATCATGGTGTACGCAGGAATGAAAAGTGATCATTTAAAGACCCTTGTCGAGCAACTTTGGTCGCTTATTTGTTCAGCGTATCTGAATCGGTGAAAACCAATGGTTCAGTCTCGGTCTTAAAATTACAGCAAGCCATGTCGCATGTGATAATCTGACTATGGGACAGATCACTTGAAGGCTTTTTGAACGCGTCGACAGATGGGGTTTCAGTCACTGTTTGAGTTTTGGAATTTAACTCACTGATGGCTTGATGAGGAGGTTGGTCCAAGTAGCTCCCCATCATGCAGCAGCCTAGTGATTCCGGAATGCAATCAAGCTGGTAGTCTTAAAACCTTTTCTAATAGACCATTGTCTTATTTAAGGCAGGAACCATGTGCTTACATGCAGTACTCGAGCAGATACTTTGTACAAATTCATAAGGGTTTTAACACCCACGTGTCTAGATGCATGGAATCTATTTCAGTATACCTGTGTATAGGATTGTATGAAATTCGTCAATGGACGTTTTCTGTGCGGATGTTTCTATTCTCTTCCCTTATTTAGTTCGTTCGCTCTGTCGTTGACCGTGCGGACACATATTTAGTTTTCTTTTTTTATTAATAATTGTTATTGTCATATGGTTTTGTGAATTTTGGACCGGCTGTTTGTTATTGGAACTGTTCTGATTGCTATTATTTCTTCTAAAATTTGAAGTCTTTAAGCTGTTTGATAGTGGTCATATTGCAAAACATCTACTCGGTTGGTTCCATTCTGTCTGTTGTTTGTTTCTGCTCTTGACGGAAAGAAAATACTTTTGCCAGTTGTGAGGAACGGGTATTGTTTCGAACAGCCAATTATTTATTCGTTTTTCATCAAAAAATCAACATTGTACCACAGTGATTGTTCATTGAAAAGTTTTCATATTTTTCCTTCTGGATAGAATCTAGTTACCTTACTTGCAGGGAACTGGTTTCCGCCACTTTAAATAGTTGTCTTACTTTTTTATGCTTTGATCATTTATTGTGTGGTGGCTTTGTTTTACATTGTGGTTTCGCCTGGTAGAGACGACACCGTTCAAAAGAATTCATCTGATGTTGTATCTATATTCACTGTTTCAGTGCCACACCCAATACCACTGTCACACTATGTTCTATGTTGTTATATCGGAAATGACCTTGAGGATAGTCTTCTACACAGAAACTTATCAGAGTTTCTACTAAAGTCGATGAAGGTCACGGCTTTAGCTGCTTCGTACCTGCCAGAAAGGTTGGACTTAATGTGGTTTTTTTTCAGCCACTTGATAACCTGCTTTAGATTACATGGAGATTAGGTGATTTAAAATACGGTCCAGGTCCTCCCTTAGTAATCTAAAATGCACTTCACTGGATCAAGTAGATATAACCACATCAAGTCTATTTAATATGTGGACCTTTTCTTTATTATTTCATAGTGTCTCTTGGGTAAAAAAACATTTAAATAATCTTATGACTTTGCATTTCCTTGTCACCCTTTGGTTTATGTACGAATATTAATGTTCCCTTCTTCATTCAATCTCCTGGACATTGGTAAGGAAATGGGAAAATTTTTTTCCGTAACTTAGTGTTGAGATTACTTCTCATAAGTGATTTAACTCTTTACCACAAATGTCTTTATACCAAAATCATTGACATTACTGACGGATGACAAGTATTTCGTATTTTTTTGGCATAGTTGAAGAGACGTGTGCTGCTGAAGCATTAGTATAGAAATTCCTAAAAGCTTTCAAAGAAAGTTCTTCAGAAATTCTGTTCTCACGCCAATTATTTACAAAGATTTTTATTTCATGAATTTATTTACCACTACAATTTTTATATAACCAGCCTAATTGAAAGGGTTGGTGATCCATTGGAAGTGTAAACGCAGCTTAGGTTGAAGAAAGTTGTTTATTTGCCTGAAACCTCAGCAAAACACATCTCACCACATTTTGTTGATCGAATGGCTGATTTATAATGAGCGAACTTACCAGTCATTCCTAATGTTAAAGATAAATTACTCTTTCACTTGATAGATAAATTAATTCCGAAGTACTCAAGGAATCTAGCTCGACGTCCGAAGGTTGGTGGCTTGGCTGAACTCAATGTACATTGGGAAGAGTATTTAACTGTATTGTATATTGAATCGAAGATGTGTCAGCGTTTCTTTAGAACTGTGTCCTTGAAGCTGAATGAAGTTTCAAACGTTTGCACTTTTAAAGTACTAGACGGTAAGTTATTGAGTTTGTCATGTTCAGTAATTCGAAGTCTATCTATTCATGTTAATCTGTGTGTAATTTATGCATGATATGACACAGTGCATATACGCAAGGTTCTCTAGAATAAAAGCTTTTGTGGAAGTAATGTTTATGGACGACCTTGAGCTCTTCTCTATTCAGAGATGTTTGGTTATGAAGCTATTTATGACTGAAAAGTGACAGTTGTAATTGGTCAGCAGTTTTTGTACGAATAACCAAAACTCGTATAAACTATCGGGTTTTCGCCAGGTGCTATTGTGATTTATAATGCGTCAATGAATCCTGTGAAACGTCATTGGTTTGTCAATATTGCCTACTTCTCCTAAACATTTAAGAAAACTGAGCAGATGAACAAACTTCTTGATACACTAGCTTTGAGCAGTTCGTTAAGCAGCACTAATTCGCTTGTTTCCTAAAATAATTTCTTTCCGTTATCATGGATAGACAGAAACTGTTATTTCCTTATCCTTCGTAATGATCTTTGAGGGCATTCTGGATGAGTTCTAAGTGAGAAATTCGGGTAATGGCAATACATAGATCGTACGTTCAAGCACATCAATCTACCCCCCCCTGGAATGTCACACACAGGACAGGATAAGAATTAATGAATTATGGACTCGACTTCGGTCAGCTTTCAGCGAATGACAAATCCTTACACAAATCTGTATTCACGGTTGTTGTTAAGTGATATTGGTCTTTATTACCATTTGTTTCGATTCGGGGTCATCGAATGATAGAGTAATCAACGAGACTGATTTATGAACGAACCGATGAGATATAAGATGGTGGTGAAACTCTATTTTATGGACGAATTTTGAACGTATTTTTAAGTGACCTTGAGAACATTAGCCAATCAGAAGAGAGTTAGGATTTTGGTGCCAAATTCTTTCATCCTTCTGGCTAACTAGCGTTTTGACATTTTAGCTGATGTCACTTCGGGATGAAATCTCGAAGTTTAGTTCGTGACCCTCGCCATTAACTGTCAATCACAATAACCGTCATTTAGTCCTTGTTAATAAGTGGACATTCTCATGATCACTTTAGCGTCTCTCAAAGGTCGTCCATGAATTATAGTCTCCGATTAATCGGTAAGTAGAGTTTGGTTTTATGCCGGGATAGAACACCTGAAAGTTTAAATCGGTAGCACTAAGAAGTTCCGTAATAGCTACAATTTGATGTCTAAGTCAGTCATGTGATGACTTGTCTGTAGCTCTTTGCGACGATAGAAGCAGATCCTAGGTTAGTTGACTGGGTAGGTTTTTTTGGTAAGATATGACAATTCAGGTATCCTATCACGCTTCAATTAGTATACTATCGTAGTAAATTCACAGTTTTCAACGACTAGTTTTTAGGTTTAAAGCCTAATTTCCTTTAGGTTACTGAGTATCATCATTAACCTTCAAACTAGTTATGGTTTTACCTTTTTTCGAGTTCCTAAACATCACTAAACTTATTTCAGTCCAAAAGCCATTGCTTAAAATAGATATTATTCTTGTCCATTTATTGATTATCCAGCCTTTTCCTTTCTGTTTTCATACCTCCCTTCAACTTGTGTAACCTTCTCGGTGCTATGTTGTACAAAAATGTTTCATTACAATTGAAAACAGTTTAGTTGTCACTTAAAACGTCCAATTTCATATGAGTTGTTTGCACATAGTATTTAGGATTCTTCTGGCCGGACTAACTTATATGTTTTGGTTGACTTGCTTATACACTATCACTAATCATCTATTCATTAACTAATCTAGCTAACACCAAATCTGTTTCCTTCAAACCATGTGACTTCCCTTCTTTGTTAAAATGTAATACAGAGACGTTTTGCAACCCTCAAGTGGTTCAAAGCTGCCAACCAAAAATCATATCCAATTATGGTAGAACCACCTCTCCGTCGGAAACGTGCGTTGTCGTTCGCTGGATACTCCGAGGTGAGTCAGGATTACAACTCTTGTTTAATTAGTTTATATTTTTCTCACTTGAATGCTACTAACTTTTTATATTAACCAATCACTTTGGATTAAATATTATATGTACCTCTCAATCACCGTTTAACCCTAACGTCTTTCCAGTTAACGTTATTGATTAAACTGAGTACTTTTTTGGATACTACGAAATTTAAAATATACAACGGATTTTCGATAAGCTCACTGTGGTCGTCTTGCCGAAACTTTAGCTCCTAGAAGTTAAACTTTGCTATTTGTTGTCGTTATTCAAAGTTAAATGTCCTTTTGAGGTATTGCTCCCTCTTAGCGGGATCATCTAGACAAAAGATTTGTGGGTAAACCTACCCATGATATAAACTTAATGGATCACTTAGTACTGTAGTTTAACTGAATTTCCAGTAATTTAGCAATAACTACTATTTTATGGTCGAATATACATTGTGACTTATTTTGTTTATCCTTGAACTGTAAAGTTTCATGGTATCAAGAACAGATGAACGTATGTGCTTCCTCGTGAAGACTACAAATGGCACTTCGAAGGTGGTCAGGATTTTTTTATCCAATGTGACCATATTTCTCTAAGTGTGTAGAAGTATTGAGTACTCCACTTGTCTAAGTTTTATTGTCATATGATTTTTAACTGGATCTGATAATGGCTGTGAAGGGGAATCAGTTGGACTTCACTACCTTCCCCCCTCCACATCGCGTATATAATTGATATATCTGTATGGTCAATGACAGTCGAGTGTGTTGCGAAAATCCGTGTTGTTTTCTCATTCACCTGACTGTAGAAGTTTTATGATTTGAGTAACAGTTGGATGTAAACACTGGTAAGTCACAGTCCCAGGCTAGTTTACTAAATTATATCACATAATGAGACAGTATTATCTACTTTTTAGTTAATCATAAACAAGGACCTGACAAAATTATCCATTAGTTGAAGTTGCCACTTTTTGCTTCAGCACTAAAACTAACACAACGTACATTAGAAGGATCAAAGCGATAATGATTTTGCTGATATCAGAAAAGTATACATAGAGAATATAGTTTAGGAAGAATCATTGATGGAGAATCATCAGTGAACAATAACTTCTCGGTCTGATGTGGAATCCTAGTTTTGAACCATAAAACCTTCTGAACCATCTCCATACAAGCCCCAGTTGCACGCTACAGTAAAAAGTGGCTTGGATGTGTTATACCTACCTAGTCATCCTAGTGAATGTGGCTTTCAGAATCCTTCCAATCAATTTACCGTTTCTATATGGTACTACACACTTTATCTCAGCAGTGCTTACTCGGTAGTTCTGTTACATTTGAAAAATTTCCGACGAGGTTTTTCGTCAAATGCTAGTGATGTTTGGATATCTTTTATCTTAAAGTCCATAAACTAATACGGAGAAAAGTGCTTCACAGTATGATCCCTTTTTGATATGCAGAGGAACTTGTGTTCTGTGCCACAAGTAAGGCTTGTAGAGAGCTATACACTTACACTATGACCAAGAATCAGTTTGTGTGAAATGGATACTGTATATGAATATTTTTGGTTTTCTGTAGGTATATCGATTGTTATAATTCTTAATAAATTAATTTGAAGTAAATATTCCCTATTATCGTTTAGCTCCCCAAAATTTCCAACAATGTTAATTTTGGGCAGTTACCTACTGCCTTCCGAATTCGCCATCCATCGTCCGTTTATCCTGATGGTGGTCCAGCTCTTGATCAAGTTTTCGGGGGTTTTTCACAGAAGTTAAACAATGAAGAAATTGGATTTTCAGCGTCTAAAGATTTATCAGATATCAAAGATTTTGGAATAAGAGGTTGTGATTTACGCTCAAGAAAGTCCTCAGTCGCTACAGTTGTAGACCATCCACTACATAGTTGTATATCGACTCCCGAAATTTACCCTAAAGTACCAAGTTCCTGTTCTGGTTCAGTAGCCAAACTGTCTCAGCCACTTAATTTATCATCCTTTAGCTGTTCAGATTATGTTCTTCCTGATAGTCTATTATCTTCGAATCTTGTTAAACTCTACCTTGCCAAGGTTAGTATTATCCCTTATTTGTTATAATCGTTACATACATATTACGGGATGCTGGAAATAGTGTTTTAAGGAACAATTCTGTTCTTACTGTGATCCTCTGGGTGCTTTAATTGGAATTTGTTTCGAACTGTTGATCAGTTGTTCAAAAATATAGTCATAGGTTCAATGTACATTCCATTCGCTGCATTCAAGGGAGTGATGTCGATTCCCGACCTGCTAAATTCTAACTGCCGATCACTAATCAACAAGGTGGACTATCTTCAGTTCCTACTAAGTCAAAATATGTATCGTAATTGTGGTGTCATCATAATTCAAGAATCTTGGTTAAATGATTTACAGGAAGACTGCCTAGTATCACTACATGATTTCAAAATTTATCATCAGGATCGATCAAACAACAAAATGAGGTGTGGCGGCGGTGTAGCTACGTTTGTAAACATAAACTGGTGTCGATCTTCGTTTGTGTGCTTTAAGTTTTCAAATGACTCTATCGACTGTCTAACTAAGATGTCGTCCAAAACATCTGAATAAGTACAAATATATTTATGTTACCAATATCTACGTGACTCCAGACTGCACATCATCTGCGCTATCTGTTTTCGCTGATGAGTTCACTGAGTTCGCTGTTACTGCCTTCAGTGATTCACTTTCAGTTGTATGTGGTGATTTCAATTCATGTGACTGTAGCTTCCTTACATCACTAGGTCACCAAAATGTAGTAGATTTTCTTACCCGTTTGGATGCTCATTTAGACTTCGTCTTCATTAATGAAGTGGGTATATATGCGACTCGTAAACGCGCTCCATTGCCTAGCTCGCATCACTGTATAATTCGTGTTCTACCTAAAGTATATGGAAAGTATGGGAAGAGTACACTCTTACATCAAACCAAGAAAGTCAAATATAGGAATTACTCAGAAGAAAATATCCGAAACCTGACAAACATGTTTCATACGACTAACTGGGAATTATTTACAGATGACTCACTGGAAATCACCACTGATGTTATCACTTGTTATCTTAAATTCTGTTTTGATATTTGTTGTCCCACTGAAACCATTTTTGTAAGTTTTGATCGACTTACATCTACACAACTAAAAGGACTACGGAGAATGAAAAAAAGAATGTACGAGGAGAAGAACTCTCACGAAGTTCGTAAGCTAAATGGTCTGATAAACCTAGAGATTAGACGTCTCAACTCTATGTTTACTCAAAGGATGTTTGGGATACCATCAGGTCTCAAGCATCGAGATGAATTAAGTGACTGGAGACATCTTCGTACATCAGTTTCAGTGAAAGTAGGAACACAGATATAATTTAAACCTGTGGATAAAGGGAACATCACATCAGATGACTGACGTACAAAAGACTTATTTAAGTCACAAACGTTCAGCTGGTTATCGCTCCTAATGTCTGTCACCTGTAAGTTCTTTAAAGGGTTTCCACACACTTGGAGAGTTTTTGAGTAAACATAGAGTTGGGACGTCTAATCTCTAGGTTTATCAGACCATTTAGCTTACGAACTTCGTGAGAGTTCTTCTCCTCGTACATTCTTTTTTTCATTCTCCGTAGTCCTTTTAGTTGTGTAGATGTAAGTCGATCAAAACTTACAAAAATGGTTTCAGTGGGACAACAAATATCAAAACAGAATTTAAGATAACAAGTGATAACATCAGTGGTGATTTCCAGTGAGTCATCTGTAAATAATGTTTGTCAGGTTTCGGATATTTTCTTCTGAGTAATTCCTATATTTGACTTTCTTGGTTTGATGTAAGAGTGTACTCTTCCCATACTTTCCATATACTTTAGGTAGAACACGAATTATACAGTGATGCGAGCTAGGCAATGGAGCGCGTTTACGAGTCGCATATATACCCACTTCATTAATGAAGACGAAGTCTAAATGAGCATCCAAACGGGTAAGAAAATCTACTACATTTTGGTGACCTAGTGATGTAAGGAAGCTACAGTCACATGAATTGAAATCACCACATACAACTGAAAGTGAATCACTGAAGGCAGTAACAGCGAACTCAGTGAACTCATCAGCGAAAACAGATAGCGCAGATGATGTGCAGTCTGGAGTCACGTAGATATTGGTAACATAAATATATTTGTACTTATTCAGATGTTTTGGACGACATCTTAGTTAGACAGTCGATAGAGTCATTTGAAAACTTAAAGCACACAAACGAAGATCGACACCAGTTTATGTTTACAAACGTAGCTACACCGCCGCCACACCTCATTTTGTTGTTTGATCGATCCTGATGATAAATTTTGAAATCATGTAGTGATACTAGGCAGTCTTCCTGTAAATCATTTAACCAAGATTCTTGAATTATGATGACACCACAATTACGATACATATTTTGACTTAGTAGGAACTGAAGATAGTCCACCTTGTTGATTAGTGATCGGCAGTTAGAATTTAGCAGGTCGGGAATCGACATACTATTAATGTTCCTTCTCTTTAACGCATATTGCCAACCATCACGATGTTTTTTATAGTACTTTTTGTATCTTGTGCAGCGAAAGGTCGTAGGTTTTTCATAAACGCGCGTGTATGGGTTTTGCGAATAATGGAGATAATGAGACGTTAAAACAAAATGAAAAAGCACTTGTTGAAATGATTAGATGGCAGAAACAGGTAGCCTAGATACTCAAGCAGGTCGCCGTTTATGAATTTTTGAAATAAGACTAGTACCTTCCTAATTGTTTTATTATTATGGCCTAAGTATGTCTCTTTTAAATTTCTACAAGCTTGACAATCTGTGTTATGTATCGCAATAGTGTAACTCGTATATAACTTTTTTTAGGCTCGGGATTTCATAGGATGAGTTTTTATAATCATAATTCATCAAATATGCGTCCGTATATTTACCGTCAGAAAAAGATGCAATTTCAGTGAACGAAGACTTGGTAGGAAAAATCAATTGTTTAATGCGAAATTACAGAGTGCCCTCGCGAAATATGGAAACCATACACTAAATACAGTATTTGTACATATTCCTTCATTTGTCCTGTATTTGCTTCATGATTCTTCCAATTCTGTTGTTATTACGATTGCTCTTTATTTCCCTTCTTGTTTTCTTCAATTTAGTCTTCTGTTGGCAGGCATTTCGCTTCCGATCGCTTCTACATACTACTTATATCTGTCAGCATAAGCAGCATGCACCACACAATCAGCTTGTCATCCGGGAAGTGTCTACCTAAGAGTCTTATATACCATGAGACTGATCAAATTCATTCGGAACAACTAAGGAATGGATTATAAAAATAATTTTAACTAGTGACAGTTTCTTATTTTTCTTCTACTAAATAGTCTAAATGGAAATGGAGATGTGTGTCCATTTCGTACTGATTTCAGTTACGTGTTAAGAAAAATCTAGAAATGCAGTGATTTGTCTTCATCGATTTAATCAGTCATTTACGTCAGATTTATTTTGTTTTTCCGATCAAATCAATATTCTGAAATACTTTGTTCAAAGTGTCTGCTATTCGATATTTAAAACGAATAAATTGAATCACATGGAATTAAGGTGTCACGGGTATTTTGTTTGAAATAAATATTCCCTGCAAATTATATAAGTTGTATATACTTATTTGTATATCTCATGTGTGCTCGATCATAGCTCGGTTCATGTGGGTCTTTTCACCGATTAAACATCATGCAAACTCGGTTGTTTTACATACCAAAGAACTTAGAAAGACTTCGTGATTTACATGGGATAAAAGAGATAAGTTTCCTATTTAAGAGGCCATCTTTTACCTAGATAGTTTGCCAGAAGCACTTAATGGCAATACGAGTTACATGAGACTAAAGTGGATTTTTTTAGCAAAACGGTTATTCGACTGTATCTGGACGTACATACTGTTATTGTTGATCGTCAGAAATACATAGTAGAAATATGATTTACTGTTGAACAGTAATATAAATAAATTGTATACATCAGTTGCTAACCATGAAATTGTGCACTAATAATTGTCAAGAAATTTTCAGTCTTATTATTCGACCTCTACATTTGGTTTTAATAAAAAGCTTCGGCTTCATGGGATCGCCTCGCATACGTCATCATAAATCTTTTATTCTCTTCAGACATAAATAGTGAGTTTTCCCTAAGTGTTAAACTTAAATGTTATCAAATTGTATTACTAATTATTATCACTTTTTATCCAAAGGTTGCCACATCAAAGCCTGTTGAATATACATGCCCAAATAATTCCTCTCGATCGAAATCTCCTCAGACTTCTACACAGGGTGGTCATCGCTTACCAGAATGTTTACAAATTCACCCACTCACTCTGGCTTCTATGGTTATGCCAGTAAACCAGATAATCCGAGCACATGCTAGCCAGAATAAATCTGAAATGAAAAAATCGGACGAACTTGCAAATTCATCGAACGTTTATTTGAATGGTCGAAATGCCGTAACGGATGCAAGCTATTCTAGTGAATTCAGTGATGGTGAATCGTGGGGACGTCCACCTGTCTGTGATCATACTAACACTGGATATCTTTCAGATAATCACCTTATAGAAGCTGTTTCTGAAGCAAAAATGCTCAACATGAGTAAACAACAACTAGATATGCGCCTAAGTATCCGACCTGGTTCTAAGATTATCTCCTCTAGTCGCACACAAACAAATTCAAGTCAGTTTCTCTATCTTTTTCTCATCTTGACTCATTGGTGGGTTGTACGAGAGTCGGTATATGAGTACATGACTTGTTCGTCATCTCTCAGTACTTATTCTGATAATACTTTTAAGAAATCTAGTCTTACGACCTTTCTGTTGATGTTAGGCTTCAAAGCTTATCGTCTTTAATCTAATTACGACAACCAGGTATTAACTCTGAGGCTTATTAATTGAGAGTATTTTTGCCATCAGATATATTTGCACTTATTTGAACGCTTACATATTGACACAAATGCGCACCAAAATAAATGTGCACCGAACAAGTAAGATTTTGAAGAAATAGGTGAAGATGAGGAATTATAATCAAGAACTAATCAAATAACTAAACGAGAGAATTATATGCTGGGAGGCACTGTAGTGTCGGTTAGTTCGTTAAGGCCACATAACTTATTCTAGTTTCTTGACAGGCGAATTTATCCATTCTTCGTGAGTCACTTTTTGATCTTGCTAATTATTTACTTACCAACCCTGACTTTTTATATGAGTGTATGTGTGTGTGTATCTTATCTTACTCATCACGTGTTTAGTTATTTTTGTGTGACTATAAATATTGATTAACGCTTAATTAAATCGAGTTGGCCCATTTGCCTTCTCCGTTGCGCGTCATTTCGCTTCGCTCTCTTCTCTTCGCTTCATTTCTCTGATTGTCTGTTTAAATCAATGAGTGTACAAAACATACGCATTCAAAAATTTATTCTCGTATTTGGCTTACTTAATTCCATCATTCACTAACGTGGATTATGTCGGTAATTATATACGAGGATTGACGATATGTATATCTAAATAACAATCAGTCAGATGATATAACTGGGGTCAGATACGGGCCACAAAAGAACCATTCAAATTATGAATTATGACTAGGAGGAATCTTTTAAGTCAGAGAAGTTCCTCTCACTTTTATGAGGTAAAAGAAAGTTACAACAGGGTTGCTATTTATTTCTGTCCTATAGCATGCCTTGTAGCGTCTCAAGCCACCGAGTGGCATTGTTTCAAACTCCAACCAGGAAGTCATGATGAACTGAGAGATACCGATCCGATACAGTTTTCCCCCATAGCACGGCTCCGTGCCACAAACTGACTACCTCTCTACTTTTTCCAATCTGTTCCGAATTCGGAAAATTAGTGGGGATGTGAAATTTGCTTGGACGACATTCGTAGTACATATCCAAGCGGTCGAAACCAGTGTTTCAAGATAGTGAAACCAACCTGGTTATCGTAGTTTTGCCCGGATACTTGTTACCGAACCTCTGCACTACTAACATGATGTTGCCATTGAATGTCAGCAATCCATCCGAGTCTTCGATGATCGAACACAGAGTTTTTTTACCATTCTTAACGTGGAAAGGCTAAGTTTCACAAGCATACAGCAAAACTACTCTCACTGGCGAGTTGTCAACTCTACCTCTCACGGTCGGACTTACATCACGATAGCTCCAGAGGTGGCTCCAATCGGTTTTCATCACATATAAGCTGATCTTATATGATACACCACCACTAGTATTCACACGCAAGTTCTAAGCATTCAAAAATCCGTGAAACATTAGATTTTAGAATATTGTTTGGTATACTTTTATTAAAATGTTCTTTTTAATTGAAATTTTGATGGAAGTAAAAATATTCTTATCACTAAGTAGAAATATATATTACTAAGTGTTGTAAATAATGATAAATAGTTTGTAAAGAATGTAAAATGTTGTGTGGTGAAGAAATTCACAAAAGTAATAATGATAGTAGGAACAATGATAGAACGTGTGGGATTATTAGCTTTTAAAAAAAGTAGTCGAACTAATGAAAGAAAAACTTAACAGGACAGTAGTGAAACTGATCTTAGTGGTTTAGGTGTTCGACTTTCAGCTACTTAATCTCAGGTTCGAGCCCCGCTCCACCTAATTCTGTTTGGAGAACCATGTAGTATTTTTAGCCTTCACACCGTGTGGCTCACATCCCAAGTACCTGGAGAATAAGTTAGTTTTCATGTATTTAGATGTTGGAGGCTAAAGGAAGAGTAAGTTTAGTTTGTGAGTGAAATTTTGGATATATTGGACATTTGATTTAAGCTAACATAAATATGTGATATACTTCCTGTTGACTCTTCCTAAGATGGTACTTATCGTTATTCTCAGCTCTTGTGTATGTAGTTAGTACTTACTTAGGAATAAACTAAAGAAGTATGTTCCTTCAGCACTTATTAACTGAGTATACCTACTGCACTAAAATGGTTGTCAGTATTTCTGATATGATTTAAACCAGATCTTGCTCTAACAAAGTATCGACACGTAAGCTCCTTACACACATGCCTTTATAAAATACCATTTTTATGTTATAGACTGTTTGGAAGTTCAGTAATTAGGGATTATAAAATCTTCAATATTTCCAAAAATATTTTTTGATTTAGAATTCTATAAGATACTGGAGTGTCTTGTTATTGGTACGTAAAGTGTTTTGCTTAGTTTAGTTTTTAATGAATAAAACATCAAGTTCATTTGTTGAATCACCTGAGAATATTCCAAATTAGTCCTGTTGCTTTGAATTTTGTAGATGTTAACAATGTTAGTGTCAAATACTTAACTATAAGTATTTAGGCAATTAATAGAACTAGTTAATGGTTTGTGGAAATCGTTCACGTTTATTCAGTACATCACGAATGTTCATCAATTCAAGTAGCCACACCATAAATTAACACAGTGAGATGGGATTATCGAAGCGAAATATCTCGTGAGTAACATTAATGATTGTTAAAATACTGAACATAGAGAATATGATTGGAGAAAGTAGACTGAATTTATCGAAATAAAATGTATCGATCAGTTTTGAAACTTACGTTTTAAAGGTTTAGAAATAGTTAAGTCATTTGCGCCGCTGTCTCCGATTTTTAACCATTTTATCTAATGTCTCAAACTTATTTTCTTTCTTATCTTTAGGGGAGAATTTAAATCGTAATTACTTAACACCGAAATTTGAATTCACTCACGTTTATGATGGCCTAAAAACATCATCAAATGCATTTCCAAATGCAAATAAATCATTTTCTAATTTTCTGCATAATTCTAATTTAAATTTAAACTTCACTGACGATGATTTCAGTGATGTAAAGTCATCTGTTTGTTATTCAGTTCCTGGTTCACCCAATATTAATTCAAAATGTTCTCACTTAACAAGACAGAGTAACTCAAGTGAATTCAACGACGCTCCTCATCATATAACTAATAATCCAACCGCCATCAATAATAATAACAATAATAGTAGAAATATTCGAACAAAGCGATTTGAACGTTTGCGTGATTTTTGGGCACTTTTAAAAATGATAATCTCTCTAATACAGATGAAGATGATCATTACTTTTACATGGATCCAAAATCTGTAGAACGTAGAATGAAATGTCAAGCATCAAATATAATTCTACCAGTATCTTTTTGATTCACTTTTTTTAATTTTGAAAGTTTCCTCTTGTCATTACTTCGTATTTTCACTAAATCATCCGTCACTATTACAATTCTTTTTCTAATTGTATTTGCAATGTATTTACCTTCGCCTTATTTTAGAGAATATATATAAGTGCTGAGTTATTTAGTGTATCATTCTTTAGTTTGTAGATAGATGGAAGTCATAAACATCAGCTTCTTGTACTTATTTGCTACTTCACTTAATATTCTATGTATCAACTTAATTGTTTTCTTATCATTTCTTTAATCACCATTGTATTTACTATCATTATTTTCAGAGCCCATTTCAATATTGTTTTCCATTTTATTTTATTTTTGTTTGCGTTTATCATTAATATTAGTAACTGGGAAGTTTATATTTTAAGTTGCTTCTTTTGGTTCTTATCCTAATCGTTATTGCCATTGTTTACTTTTACCGTACACTTCATTACACCACTGATATATTTCAAAATATCAGTTTTACTACCGATTAGTCTAGCTATTTAAAAGTGAGTGATTGTTTTTATATGTTGACTTTTTAAACAAATTCCATATAACTGAAACAACAGTTCACAATTGACTGACCAGGGAATAATAACTGATGTCATGCTTGTCTAGTTCTTTGCTGCTGATCAAATCGCAATGTGACTACAAGTCAAAATGAATTGAACGTGAACTTTGTTGTTATGTTAATATGTTGGAGATAGTTGAAAGGAAACTATAGACCTAGGCTTATACTAGTTGGCACTGGTTACGAAGGTGCACCTGTATTCTTGTGGGAATTGATACTCCCTATGGGGTTTGAACCCGAGTCATCCAGCTTCATAGCTTGAGACCTTACTATTGATAAGTTAAGGTAGTAACTGACTGTACAACTAAAATATTTGCGTTTCATTGTTCACTGAATAGGTCACTGGACACGCGATATTATGCACCAAATTGCTTGTTTAATTATTTTGATAGTATTAATTGTACTTCCCGTTGATTTTTTAAAGAAGTGAATCTTCAATGCAAGCCCTATGTATGTTATGTTTAAGGGTTTCCGTAACTAGGACGAATATCGATTGTTATTTCGTTTCCTGATCAACGGGGACTGATCATTATTAGGTAGGGAGATAACCGTTACTGTTCGAGGTTACGAGTCTGAATCTTAGTTTGAACCCATCGTTTGTGTACGAAATAACTATGCGACACATCAGTTCAAGTTTAAAAGTAAATTCAGTTATTGTAATATGGTAGCCGTACGCTGATTAGTAAGGTCACCTTCAAAATACGACCAAAAGAACTAGGTCTTGAAATATAAAGCTTAAAAAAAAGCCACAGTCTTACTTTTAGTCAAGATTTGTTGACACATGGAACTTCTTCATAGTTCGTAGTGATGAGCGGAGGTTGTTCTAACGCAAATTAATTAACTGTGCAATACATCTATTTTTTATTCTTTCGATTAATGTATTGCAGATTCGTCCCGTATATGCTCTTGAAATTCTCCTGTTGGACATTACAGTATTAAAAGTCGTCTATGTAATGTATTGGGATAACACTTAGTCCAGGCTCGCAGCTCAGGAGACAAACTGTGGAGGATAAAATCTAATGAATAATGGAGGATTGGTGTTTTCTTCTAAGCCTAATCAAAGTATGGCGCATCAAATGAATAAGTGTAAACAACCACGTCTGTCTACGGAAAGGTATAAGGAGTGATTAGTTAACGATACGAGAATAAGTGAAATAATAATAATGGGATTATTAATAATCCATCTAATAACTTTTAAAATTTAATCATGGGATTGTGTATACAATAACTGTCAAGCAGTGTATTCATATTGCTTTTTACGACTGATGTTCTGAGTATAGGTTCTGTCTTACTACGGAAACTCACTTTAGAAAAGCGAGTATTTTTAAAGACTAAATGTCAGTTATTTTTTGTCTTAGTACATGGTTAGGACGATGGGAAGATACTTTGAGGAACAATTCATTCGATTTCCATTTACCCTTCATTTGCATTTACTGTATAACAGCGATTCGAGTATTGTGAAAATTTGTTCTTGATTGAGATGGACTAATAGACGCAGAGATCGTTTTTGCAAGTCTAAGCGATATTATTTTATTCGAAGATTTGCACATAAATATTTTTTTCAGAATTTCCAGTTTATTTCACTGGGACGTGGAGTAGGTACAACAAATTACCAATAATAAAGTGACCGAGTTAAATTAGTAATAATCTATATATATAATCTGTATATCCGAAATTATTTACACAAACAAAATGGATGCACGTTACTTTCATTCTACTCGGCTTACTTTACATTAATTCCTAACTTAGCCAAGTTACATAAGATTTAATAATTAAAATAAGTAACCATTTATTTTAAGCCCAGCAAACCACTTTTGAATTGTTTATTTAACTACTATATGTAGTGTGATCAGCTAGTCAATTTAGCACCAATACTTTATTCCAAATAATTAATTATTTCGTCATCTCATTTTAATCGAAAGCTAAATAAATTAGGATTAGTTTGATTATCTGAGCTTAGGTGACCTAATGCACTTTATTATGAATCATATCATTAAGTGAGTGACATTCTAAAGTTTTTATGCTAGTGTCTAATTTGAGTGAATTTGTTAGATCTCAACACTGAATCATTCGATACTTCCTCAGAAACTGGAAGGAATAGCTTTTAAATGTGTAGTGAAAGTCTGTTTAATGTTTCAACTTTGACTAAATAAAATCGATAGGTCCAGATCATTATATGAAAACAATTCTAAAACCTTGATCTGAGTTTTGATAAGTGAAACAGTCATCTGTTCTCCTGTATTACATTTTCGTGTCCTTATCTTGGTCCATATTTGGTCGATGCGGAAGATGAAGTTACAATGAAATTAAGTGGACATACTGCGAAGGCATTTCATTAGGTGTTGATACTTACGAGTATCCTTAGGGTGAAAATGATTTGAAGGTTTATTGTATGGCTGAGAATAGGAATCGATCATGTATACTAGGATTGAGTGAATTCGCTTTCGGCTGTATGGGGTCGAGTGAGTCCCCAAACGGTAAGTAGGATCGTTGAAAAAAGGTAATGGGAGTTGCTATCGAGGTCGAATGATGAGGCGATTTAGTTTAGATATATGTCCTCATCATAGTGATGCCTTGGAAGTTAAGTGTATAACTCGAGTTTCTAATTACAGGAAAGTTGTTTGGACATCTAAAAGGAACTTACTGGTCACAGCCAATATAAATGACGTTTGCATAGATCATCTATTTGTGGTATGGGCAAATCTTCAGATTTATCACCTAATGTTTACTTGGATTCATCTTTCTGAATTTCTAACATTCACCGAAGAAAATCATACTGACATCGACTGGTTTAAGATGAATCTTTTGAGAAATGTAAATATTTCGGAGCACATCTTTGTACTTTTGTCATCTTTTAATATACCCAAAAATCATTCTGAATTTTTGGCCAACATATTTATTGTTCTCAACTGGTTTATGTAATCTTAAAAGTTCTCATAGGATAAATTAAACCAACCATTGTTTTCCATTACATCTTCATAAAGCTCCACTCCATTTTATAGTAATATTTAGATGCATATATGTAGAACACCAATCCAAGCAAGATAATTTGTAGGCTACTGAGAGCAATGCAAAAGGTTTGCATTTTTAATTATAGTAAATAGACAGTATAAATTGATAGTAAGTTGACATGTATACTAGTGACTATAAGAATAGTAAACAGAATAGTTTTGTGAGGAAATGTATGTCGAAGTTTGAAAGCATGTATTCATTAGAACATACGAAAAGTCTATTATTTACCTGAATCGCCCGATATTATTAAACTAATAATTATTAACGGTTTCATTATAAGAAATTTTTAAATAGTAAGTTCAAGTAGGTAGGTGGCATAGAAGAGGAAACACAATGGATAATTTGTAGGCAGAACTAATAAAATCGTCCAACAGTTTTCCCTACACATTAGTAAAACTGTATGGTTTAAAATGATAGCTTCAATAAATTTCTTATGAATGAATAATTGAGATTTTATAACTTTGGGATTAATTGTAACCGCTTTCTGAAGGAAAAACCGATTCCGTCGAATTGTCAGTTAAGATCACTGCTGAACTGAGCCAAAGTTTTCCATCAAGACCATAGCTGTCAACTGATGGTGTAATATTTCTGTCCAAGATATTCCTAGAGTAAATACATTCTTATTGTATTCAGTCTCAATGTAGATGTCTGCAAAAAAGGAATTATAAATTCTTCATATTATGTTTACAATATACTAAATGTTTTGATTCTGCAATAGATGTTTCGTATAGGCCAAAGGTGTACTAGAAGAATTATTTATTACTCATCGGTCATCTAAAAAAGGAACTATGACAAAACTCTGATGGCACAATTCTTATTCATCAATTTTTGCTAATTTTTCGGCAGTAGAACTTACGATCTTCAGTATGTTTGCGGTAACACATTTTAACAAAACAGATTCTCATTATCATTTAAAGTTTGAATATTCAAGTATACTTATTTAAAATAGATGTATATTTGGGAATTTGCTAAATGTATTGAATAAACTTCTAATTTCAAGTAGTGTTTTTTCTGAGATAAAATGTTAGTGTTAAAAATAATTAAATCATCATGAGAATTATTTGGTTATTAAAATCATGTTACCAATGGTATTGAGGGAACTGACTTCATTAAAATCATACGATCGGTATTCTTGACAAATTTATTGATACCATAATGATTATAATGGTTGTAAATGACCTTGACCTCACAAAAGTGTGTACAAGACTACATTTCGTCACAGCACCCACAAAAATTCATCTTTCTTACATGAACTACTAACAGTAGTTTGTACAAATTTGATAAAATTAGTCATATAATGATTAACTGTTTTCGGAGTTGGTATTTTAGCTAGAATTTTAATTAATCATTTATTACGGTCTGTAATTTTCATAATGAGTAACTAACATATTTAACTAATTAGTGATAATATTATTCAATAATCTGGGATTTTGTTTTTGTGCTGTGTATTTTTGAATGACAAGCTCAGAAACAGCGAGTGAATACTTAATAAGTGTTTAGAAAATATAAAA